CTACTACTACGACGACGGCGACGACGACGACGACTACTACTACTAGTACCACCACCACCCCCACCACCACCACCACCACGACTACTACTACTACTACTACCACCACCACCACCACCACCCCCACCACCGCCACCACGACTACTACTACTATTATTACTACTACTACTACTACTACTACTACTACGACTACGACTACTCTTACTACTACGACTACTCTTACTACTACTACTACTACGACGACGACGACTACTACTACTACGAGTACGACTACGACTGCGACTGCGACTACTACTGCTGCTACTACTACTACTACTACGACTACTACGACTACTACGACTACTACGACTACTACGACTACTACGACTACTACGACTACGACTGCGACTACGACGACGACGACTACTACTACTACTACTACTACTACTACTACTGCTACTGCTACTGCTACTACTACTACTACTACTACTACTACTACTGCTACTACCATCTACTTACCACTTATTACTGCTACTACGACGACGACTACTCCTAATCCTACTCTTCCTGTCTGTGGTGTTACTACTACGGCTGGTGCCGTTGCTATGGCTACCGCTGTGGCTACTGCTACGGCAACGGCTACTGCCACTGCTACTTCTGCTGCTGCTGCTAAGACGACGGCGAACGGTAAGACTAGTAAGGGTAACATAAACATACTATTGAAAATGGTTATGATTATTCATGGTCGCATGTTATTCTCACCGAGGCCCTGGAGTCTGTGAAGGTCCTGATCAGGGCTAAGGCGGATGTGCTGATGAAGGAGCAGGGATTTTCGGGGTTCAGGGTTTCAGCCTTACAGCTTCAGGTCTACAGGGTTTAAGGGTTTAAGGGTGTTAAGTTCAGGGTTGTTTATTTGGGGTTCAGGGGTTTGGGTGGTCTTTGATAGGTTCAGCTCTTCAGCCAGTTTCCTGGAGCCTTACTCGTGGTCTCAAAGTGGTTAGAGGCTCCTAAACCCTAAACCCTAAACCTTCGACGGGATTGAGGTCTGGGGCTTCCAGACCTGGGACTTGGAGACCTCTGCTTTGCGGTTTGAGAGTTTTGGCGTTGGAGGAATTGTGCAGGGCTTTGTGACAATCAACTTGGGGGGGATCCGTGGTTCTCCGGGGGTGCATTGCGGCGTATGGCGGCACTGAGCATGTCTTGACACACTGGCAGCATGCTTTGCGCACGAGGTCAAACCTAAATCTCTCCCAATTTGTTTGGGAAAGGGGGTTACAGCAGATTCAGTAGATGCTGTTGTACACCTCATCAGACCTCATCTAAACCGTTCTATGTGCCAGCTACCCAGAGCGACTGATGCAGCAGCATTGAAAGGACAAGCTCGGTCGCACGCCAATGCACCTTGGTACTGCAACAGAACGGCTCGATCTGTGGAGGGCCAGATTTTTCCATGATGCTTCCCCGACTCCTGATCCCGAAGCCTTGGATGTTCGAAAGCTGGCATGCCGCAACTCTTTCGGATCTCGACAGGAACTCCAGAAAATTGTTGCCAAGAAACTTTTATGTAACGGAATATCTGCTCTCTACTGAAGCCAACCCCTCTGGCTTTGTGCCTAGGCTGTGAGGTTTACAGAATCAAGTGGTTTGAGCCTCAAATGTTGCACTTGGGGTTCGTGGCTTGTCTTAGATGATTTTGGTAAGTTGTAATCGAAACCCCTCTTTGAAGCGTAGACCCTGCCTGAAGCCTTCTTAGGTCTTTCAGGCTCGTGCTTGTTCTGGGTCTTTATCAGCGCTTAGAGTTCAGGCTTTATGCGTCATCGGCTTGGCAGACCCTGCCACCGTGAATCCACAGCAATTCCATCGAACCTGTTCCCCTGCAAGCGTGAGAGATGCTTCGGGTTGGATAGTTGCACGGTGCTCTGCATGCGAAGCTTGGCATCACATGTGGTATCTCGTCGCAGCAGCCAGGTCTGCATGTGCACATGGATGTGTTTGTATGCACGGTATTTATGATCTACATATATACATATATGTGCGTGTGTATGTATCCGGTCCATGTATGTGTGTAGGTCTGTTTGATGGTATGCTTGTGTGTTTTTGTTGCGTGTGTTGTGTAAATATGTATGTATGTATGTATGTATGTATGTATGTATGCATGTGCAGTATGTATGTATGCATGCATGTATGTATGCATGTATGTATGGATGTATGCATGTACATATGTATGCATGCATGTATGTATGCGTGTGTACATATACACACATACTGTACCATCATTTATTTATTTGTCTGCTTCGGGCAAGGCCCCTTGAAAACGTCTCAGCCTATGGAGGTACTATGCAGTTACGGCTGCGCAGGAGGATGCAGCAACACCGGCACAGGAGTCGCAGCACCAGCTGCATTTGCAGGCGCAATCGGAGGGCTGTTCCAAGCCTTCGCCAATATATATCTATCTACTTAGTTGTTAACGTTTGTGTTTACATATATAAACATACAGGAAAGTTTAGGAGTTAACAATTAGAATACGACTTGGTGTGATTGTAGTTCAATTAATTTGGTGCGACAAGTGGAAATTACTCAGGCCTACATTGCGCACATAGCGCAGGAAAGTCGGCCCGCTATGCCTTTAGAGACGTGAGTTCTCAATCTAGTATCAAGGACTCACGAAGTCATAAACAAGAGAGAGAGAGAGAGAGAGCCGTCAACGCCCAGATGCTGCATTCTAGACATGTTGACCTCAAACACACAATCCTGGGCCTGAACCTCCGTTCTCAGTGTTTCATCAACCCTTTAAGTCTTGAAGCTGAAGGAAGCCTCCACCTTACCTCAAAGCTGCAAGGATTCCTCTTTAGAAACCACGCCATGATTTTCCAAGTTGTCACAATCCAACCCTCTCAGAGGTGCAGCGAGTTTGCTTCCGGGCAGGTTGACATAATGCAAGAAGCTGGGACGTAGATCTCGGAACCTTTGAATCCTACTTGGAGAGCCGCCTCGTGTGCTGATCAGGTGTGCCAGCAGCTCTTGAATGGCGTCTTGCGAGTTGCAAGCTGGCACAAACTTGGGTTTTGGATTTGGGGCTTCTAGATTCTAGATTTTGGGGTTTTGGGGCGCAGGGTTGCCACTGGATCCTGGCCGTAGTCTATTCTATGTAAAGGCTGTCGCAGAATCCACGACAACACCTTACGCTAGTTATTGAGGCCCCTACATGAAAGCCTAGTAAAACATCCGGAACTCTGTTGAGTCCTGACTGAGGCACGGGAAGGCCGTGAGTGGGACACGGAGGAGAGCAGCGAGCTTGAGAGATTCGCAGAGGAGAAGCATCACTGGCCGCTTCTGATTCTTGGCATGTGTTTGGTTTTGGTTTAAGCTGGACATCGAAGTAGTAGTAGTAGTAGTAGTAGTAGTAGTAGTAGTAGTAGTAGTAGTGATAGTGGTAGCAGGAGTAGTAGTAGTAGTAGTAGTAGTAGTAGTAGTAGTAGCAGTGATAGTGGTAGCAGGAGTAGTAGTAGTAGTAGTAGTAGTAGTAGTAGTGGTGATGGTAGTATTACTAGTTGTTGTTGTTGAGTTGTTCTAAGTAGTAGTGAAAGCAGGTGTGTTGTTCTAGCAAGTAGTAGTAAGTAGTCGTCGTCGTCGTCGTCGTTGTTGCTGTGCGAGTACGAGTATCGGTGTACTGGTACTGGGTTTGGGTTTTGGAGTTGGCTTTTGGGGCGTAGTAGGGGAGGTTTGGATTCCAAACTGGTTGTTGTTGGCTTCTGAAGGGTTTCAGAAGCGTTTTATACGTTGGGGGTTTGGGTGTGTGGCTTCGTAGCGTGCTGGGTTGACATATAGAATCTGATCTTTTGAGTACAGGGCTTATTTTCGCAACGCACTTCATATAAACACACAAACATCTCTCTCTCTCTCTCTCCCTTCCTGTTCTCCTTCCGATTCGCCTACTTATCGGCCCTCCGGAGGGTTTCCTTTTCAAGCCCAGGTACTTACAGAGTAGGTTGCTGCCGCCATAAACCCGAAAACCCCAACCTTAATGTATAAAGTGTGAGTGTCAAAGACCTTCAAGAATATAGGAATCATAATTAACTGGCCACGAAGGTAACCAGGCTGTTGAGGGTTCAGGTCCCTGCGTGCACAGTCTCTGGTGCCCTTTGCCCAGACCTGGAAAAATTGAGAATAGGGTCTTTTTTTGGTCCCAATCGTGTAGCATGTCAGAAAAGTATACCTCAAACCATGTTCTGAACCCTAAACCTTCTGAACTTCCAAGACCCCTTCACAAAAGCCTCTATGCAGAGTAGAACTTTCTGGTGCATGTGCACAAGACTCCAAGACTCCAAAGCCAAGAGTTTCACCCACAAATCTCGAGACGAACTAGCTAGAGATACCTGCGCTCTATTCGGTTTAGCCTCTAAACTTTAGAGTTTAGGGGTTTTAAGATTTAGGGATCTAAGGTTTAGGGATGTTCCGGGTTTAGGGGATTAAGGTTTAGGGTTGTGGGTTGTTCCTACTTGGCAGCAGGGATACAGCCGCAATTGGGGTGAGGTGTTTCTTTGTTTGGGTCTAGGCTTTAGGGCCGCAAACGCAAAGACACCGTTGAATTCCGACATATGCCTTAAAATTGAAGCCCGCCTAAAGCACTAAGTCACTGAATGCACTGAATCCTGAAGCTAAATACTCTGAAGCACCAACGCCCTGCAGCCCTAGAAACCCTGAGGGTTTGCCCTTACGCCCTAAAAACCCTAAAGCACTGAAGCCCTAGAGCCGCATGGGCCCCAAAGCCTAGATCCCTAAACCCTCAACCCTAGAACACTAAACCCTAAAGCCTAGAACACTCCTAACTAGGGGTGAGGCAAAAAAGACCCTTGAACACTAAACCCTAAACCCTACACGACTAAACCCTAAACCCCAAAGCCTAGAACACTCTTAACTAGGGGTGAGGCAAAAAACCTAGAACACTAAACCCCAAACCCTATAGAACCCTAAACCCTAAACCCTAGAACACTGAATCCTAAACCCTAGAACACTAAACCCCAAACCCTAAACCCTAGAACACTAAATCCTAAACCCTAAACCGTAGACACTAAATCCTAAATCCTAAACCCTAAACCCTAAACCCTAGAACACTAAACCCTAATTTTTCAAACTAAATCCTAAACCCAAAACCCTAAACAAAAATAGAAAGTCGAGGAACCTTCTGAGTCTCAACAATCGCCTTCGGCAGCTCGGTTTGAGGAATCCGGCAGCCTTGACAGAGCCTTGGGCGACTACTGAGTTCAGGGTGCAGGATTTGAATCTGGGTTAAAAAACTGAGTTGAGGCTTTGTAGGGCTTGCGGTTCAGGGTTAAGGGCGTATAATGTTTAAGATTTAGGGCTTTCGGTTTGGAGTTTCGGGGTTTAGGGTTTTCTGAGTTTTTGTAGATTCAGGGCATAGTAGTTTACGAGTTTGGAAGTTTTGGTTCCAGGGTTTGGTGGTGGAGATCACTCTAGTGGTGTTATACGGCTCTTCGGGATCAGTTTAGGCTTGCGGTGTGGGGACTGCGGCATTTGGTCTTCGGATTGCTGACAACAAACCCTAAGCCCCATTCCATACCCTAAGCCCCAACACCCTAAAGCCCCATAAGCCCTGAAGGTCCTAAATCCAATCGGCTGGTCCGAGCAGACCGAATTCTGTCTGTCGGTGGGTTTAGGGAGTCTGAAGCAGTCAAGCCAGACTTCCGGAGAGTTACACTTATGAGTAAAGCAAAGCTGATGGCATGGGGCTGCAGTAGTTAAAGTTATTCTCTTGTGTTCCTTTCCAGAGTATGTAATGTAGGGGCCTGACAGATTACCAATACTATTTTTTGGGGTTCCTTAATTATTTTATTTATAGTATAAGTGGGGGCTCCAAAACCCTATCCTAATTATTAAGGCCCCTATACTACCGTCATCTGTGAGGGCATTCCTAGACTCCACAGCCTCTGCTGTCAGGCATGCCCATTTCGCTGAGTAGAAGTGCTTGCGTAGACAGCTGTTCAGCAAATCTCCGAGTTAAGACCCCAAGCTGTGTACATCCCTTCAACCCTTTCCCTAAATTACGAATGGTACCCGACACGGACCGGAATTCACCAGAGCTTGAGCTTCAGCAAGATCCAAAACCGAGAAAACGAACAGGAAAATGCTGTCTCACCCAGCTGCCAATCTGAAACCGCCTGCCCTCAGTATCGAAGTAGACAGACCAGCATCGCACATCTTTAAGTCTCCGATGCCTGGGCCGAATATTGGGTTTTGTTTTATTTGGTTGGGATTGGGGGGAACCATACAACGCCTGTCCAATTAAGAGAATCCCAGGCCCCACCCCCTTTATCAAACCCCACTATCTGCAAAGCTCTAATATTGCGTTCCAATCAACCGCCCTCGTTCCATACACTGCTCCCAGACGCAAAGGATGGCCTGACAAACAGGGTTCCCACATGCTATTTACGAGTATCATGTACTCCAAAAGCAGCTCTAAACCTTCAGGCTCCCTCATATGAGAGTTTTCGAAAATTAGGGGTAGCTTATTTTGGGGTCCTTATAACAAGGATCCTATTATTGAGGGTACTATATTAGTGTCCCTTTTTTTCGGAAGCCCCCATATCAAAGGCGAGTCTTTCGGGGTGGCTCTAAGGTCTCATGCGGAGTTGCTTTCCCGGAGACTCTGCTAGTCCTTCTGCGAGGTGTTCTTTCGTTGCCGCATTGGGTTCGGGACTTCGGGTTTAGGGTTTTTGGCCTAAATAATTGCCAAAAAAATTTTGTGGGTTCTTTTTATATATGTAGTATATTGGGCCCCAAAGCCCTATTCTAATTAGTAAGACCCCTATGTTAGGGTTTCGGGCTTAAGGGCCCGAAGCCCTCTACCAAACCCTGACCTCCATTTTCCCAATTGCCGACCCTTACTCCTAAACCCTACGGTCCTTCCAAAAACCTAGCCCCAAAGCCGCTAAAGTTCAGGACTCGGTGATCCAGCGGATCTCAGAACTGCAGTACGAGACAGCATGCTTGGCGGTGTCCTTTTTCGAAGACCCGCCTGAGACGCAAGAGTCGACGGACAGGGGTTTAGGGCTTAGGGTTTCTACGGCGGAGTTGAGATCTGAATTTGGGATTTCAGGATTAGCCTACCAGTTTTTTTTTTTCAAACATGAGCTCATAGCAGTCTATGGCTCCATGGTAGGAACAACAACAGCGATGACCAGAACAGCCGATGTCGTCTTCTCGAAACCGCACAGCGGAAGAGCAGCGACCCTTAAAGCCAAACCTGCCTGGATCGTCCGACTGTGAGCGCCGAAACCCCAAACCCTAAGCCCCGGGAATGTTCGATGCTGATTTCCAACGTCAATGAAAGAGGCTATTATTCGGCTACTTGCTCCGGAGCTTCATGAGACAGGCGTTTCTATCACGATTTTTGCAGTTACTGTTACCAATATTGTCAAAAGAAGTATTCTTACTTGTGCTATGATAAACATTACCATATTACTTACTAGCAGCTATGTTGCATGAACTAAACTCCTGAAGCCCCACTACTTGAAGGGAGCTCAGCCCATTGATTCCTAAACCCGTTTTCCAGGAGTGCCTTCTCAAGGTGCCTGACGAGGCGATGCCAATTGAGCTTCAAGCTATTCTCGAGTCGGTGCCGTGGTTAAGGATTTGGGTTTCAGGGGTTTAGAGTGTCTCATGAAGACCCTGAGAGTCCAGCTTGCCGGCATACCCAAAGCCCGTGCTGAACATGGGGTATTACAGCCTTTCAGAGCCCGCCCCAGAGTTCGAGGGTTCGGTTCTCTTACTGACGGCCTGAACCCTGAAACCTGCAACTGGACCCAGGTCCACATGTCCTTGCCCAGTTGAGGGCGCTGTGTAGTACGGTGTGTAGAGTTTAGGCCTCAATGGGCTACCCAGAAGTCCATCCCCATACAGTCATACACAAAATGTCTACACTAGTCTACATTGCTTCAACCTTGGTTAGTTGGATTACAGTCTCCTACTGCTGTGGAGCAGCAACTGAGGATTTCATCAGAGATCATGATCGACTGCGACGTCAAGGCAACCGAATGCACAGGCATTTCGGTCTCTCCAAGAGATGCCTGGATGTTTGGGTAACCAGGTTGCTTTTGATCATTTCCAGCGGTTAGGGCTTTTATTTTTGAGGGTTTAGGGTTTAGGGTAACCAGCTTTCGGGAATGTTTTTTGGATAAAGTAGGGCCCTATGTTGTACGGCTGGTTCTGGTCAAAGAGTTGCCAAGCGGACTCCCTGGTCCCTCCTGTCAATTTCCAAAGAGCGACTGAGGTAAGCCTTCCTCACGATGTGGCACAACATGCGCTCAGCATCTTCATGCTGGAGCAGGCTGCTGTATTGGGCAAGCAGTTGTGGCAGACTTGTGGCAGTAACAGTTCGTTGAATCCCTGTCCGACAGCTTGTTCTTAATGCTAGTGCTACAGGTAGACCAGTGATTCGTAGTGCCACTGCTGTACACTACGGCGACCACCGAATGTAGTTGCCATTGCTCTTCGCGATACTGGTGATCATTGCAGGGGCTTATTACCCTAACTTAAAGGGTCATGGGACTTAGTATCTATGGCTTTTCCTAGAGCAACTATACTTGCAACCGCTTATGGCCCCGATTCAGGTATTTATACCTGTTAGGTCCCATATGCAAACCATGAGCCGGCATAAGCCAAATCAATGAGGCAGTAAGCAAAAATGGCCCTAACTAATCAAACCTGTCAAGCGGAAACATACGAAAGTAATTTTGCATGACGACAGTACTACAACATGAACCGTATCTATGTGCATGTGTGTACGTATATAGAGAGAAATATAGATGGATGGCGACATGTAAATATAAATATAAATATACAGAGAGAGTACATATACACAAACAACTCCTAGACAGGTCCACAGCTGCACAAACACCCAAGCATGCGACATAATACACCATGGTGAAGACAAACAACGACGCAAGCAAATGTAAAGATGCAAAGCATGAAGTACATGCACATATGCACAGGTCGCCACAGAACCACCAATTCAGGCTTGCACAAAAAAAGAAAGAGTGCTTGAAACACCTGCTGGTGGACAAATCCGATGTTCTCGTAGGAAAAAAGTAACTTTGTGCAGGGAGAGAAGGGAAAACAGTGTCTTGCAGCTGCCTGTTGCACGTCTTTAAGGTTTTGTTGCTTCCAGTTTCTGTGGGAGAGAATAACAAGAGTTCGAGCAAGCAAGATGTAGCTCGGGTATGCTCTCCCATCGCCTCCCACCCACCTCAGCAAAAAAACACAGACTCTGAACCCTAACCCAAAACCGTGGAACTTAGAGCTTCATGCCGCCCAACAACGGCTGACACGCTCTGCTTGCACTGTCGGCTTAGATCTCTTAGGCAGGGTTCGAAAGGGGGACGGTAGAAGGGTAAAAGAGAAGCCAAGAAGCCTGACATACTACCTCGATTTCCCAGAGCACTGCATTCGATCTTGAAGTTGAAACAGATTCCATCGCAGGTCTCAGCACACCATTTTAAAGTGCCGGAAGACGAGTTGAAGGCGATGGAGGAGGAGGCAGCGGACGAGATTCAGATCATGAACGCTCCTGGACCCGTTTCCTCTGCCTTTCTTGCTTGTTTGAATTTATGTGAAGAACGCAATGATGATCTGGAACATTGCGCAGCTAAAGCTTTCGGGCGTTTAGTGCGGCTTCAACTCTTGGACTCTACATGCTGGAGCTGAGGTTGGAGAGGATCCCAACCGGTATGTGGGCACCATCCGGAAGTGGGATTCTGAACGAGGCTTCGGCTTCATCGTGCAGCCGCAGCCAGAGGAGGAGACCGGCGAGGAGGATCACAAGGACAGGCTTCGGGTTACGGCTGAACCCTGGTAATATAGGGGCCTTAGTAGTCAGAATAGGGTTTCGGGGCCCATTCTACTATACTATACTTACTGTAAGGAACCCCTCAGAATAGTATTGGTGATTGTTTAGGCACCTACATTAGGGAGATGAGGTGTACACAGAAGGTTCTAAACAGGCAGGTCAGGTATTAGTAGTTGCTTTATTGGTAAGCTCCCTATTGGGGCTTCATGTTTGTACCTTTTCTCTTAGGCCTGTTATGCGCTATCTTGCGCAGCAGTCTGAGTGCCAAAGTCAACTGGCAACCTGTTTGCAATCATCACACCTTGTCCTGGCGCCGGTGGCACTGTGTTGATGAACATGCCTATATAGCTGTCCGCCCAGGAGGCTCACAGGCCTACTGGGCACCACAGCAAAGCCCGCTAAACCAGAAGATTTCTGACACGATGTCAACTTGCACGGGCTACGGGTTTAAAGGTGAACACGGTGCTGCGACAGCCTCCTTACGATGTTTTATCCAGCTTGCACTCCCAGCTCTTCTCTAAGAGCTCTGCGGCCTGGAGCCACAGTGTCAAATTCGAATCAGAGACCCAAATCCATGTTGTGACTGTTTGAGGGCCGTCGGGTTGGGATACTATACGAATCTGAACAACTAGTAATACTATTCTTTTAGGTTTCCATACCATGAGTGTATATTATGTATATTATGTATAGAATACACACCAAAACCCTACATTGTCCTATCCTACTTATTCAAGAAGGCCCTAAACCCTAAACCCCAAACCCTAAACCCTTATCCGAGGGGAAAATTAAAGAAGGGCCCCCCCAAAATTGGCTGGAGAGGATATCTTCGTCCACCGCACCAACCTCATGGGCTCTGCTCCCGGTGTGCACATCGACCTCCAGGAAGGGAGCAAGGTGGGGTCTAGGGTTTATAGGGTTTTAGGGTTTAGCGTTTATTTTGGTTGGTTGGTTGGTTGGTTGGTTGGTTGGTTGGTTGGTTGGTTGGTTGGTTGGTTGGTTGGTTGGTTGGTTGGTTGGTTGGTTGGGTGGTTGGTTGGTTGGTTGGTTGG